TCCCACTGTACTATCATTAGTTACAAATCAGAGAACAGGAACTGTTTCTGCAATACCACAATCTAATTGCTATCTGATATACTGCTTATTACATAGTCCTCATGCAACCACAAATCTCATCCACAACAATATAGCTCCCATTTGTTTCCCTGCCACCTTTTTACAGTGGTAGTGTTCATACAGTTTGCATTTAAGTCTTTCTTTTAAAATTATGGCATTTGTACTCCTAAATCAAACAGCATAATGCATATTTTTGCTCCACTGTAAAAATCACAGAAGGGTGAATGGTAGCAGTCCTACATTCATGCACAAGACAATTAAAATTGAATGTCTTTAGATCAGTTTATGTTTTAAGAATTTTACTGATCATTCATTTTAAGCACATCTGAAAATCAATTGTTCTCCGTGCATGTTCAGCCTGACCCCAATATGCAACATCAGAGGGTCATTAAATACAAACTAGTAAAAGAAATAAAATGCTTCAAGACAAAAGAGCATGCAGTGTTGTCAAAAAAGCGTGCTTGAGCCAGTGGTTTAATGTGACTGTTATACATCACAGTAATGCCTGGCTTTTTAAAACCAACTTGTGGTTTCTCCTCTGAAATTGGAGTGTTTAATATAGTCCAAGAATTCCTTTGTCCTGAAGACAAACTGAACATAATGAGAGCAAATGTTATTTTCCTATTTGCTTTCTCCCTATAAACAAACCACAAGCACACTGACATACTGAACTGTAAGCAAACTGCATCTCGTCTACAGAAAATGGCTCCTATCAAAGCAAGATCAGCTGCCACAAAGAGATGGAAAGAGAATGTTAAAGAAAAATAGGTCTGCTGTCAGTTTAGGGTTTTTCAAACTCAACTTCCATTTATATACTGGACGCCAATGGTGCAGGGTTATGCATGAGCAGGCAAAACAGGAAACTGAGCATAAATCACTACTACCGTCAACAGAGCTCCAGGCGATTTTCACATGCCATCAGTCAATTGTGCTAAAGAAGCCCATCAATATGGCAGTGTCTGCTCTAAGTGTCAGAAGAATATTGTCTATTGGTCCTGCCAGTCAATCTGCACACTAATGTTTGGCTGTAAAATGGTGAATAGTGTCAAGGAAGAAGATAAGCCAATGATTTATATCTATCTGTGTCAGACTGATAATACAGAGCTACAGGCAAGAAGAGACTAGCTCCATTTGGCAAGAACCTATGCTTAAAAAAAGATACAAGAAGACACAGCATCAAAAAATGAATGCCCGATTAAGTTAATCAGAGTTTCAACTACAGAGATGTTCTTCATTAATGCTCTCAGGAATATACAGCGGATTATTTCCTTCTTTAGTCTGACAGTAGATAATACACTGTGCAACTCAGATTATCTTGCAACACAGTCCTATTTGCTGGACATTTGCTCATGTTTGGCCTAGTAAGGTCTTAAATTATTTGCAGTAATTCAAATAAAATGTATATATTATTTGCAGTACATGGTTATTAACCTAATCTAAAAGACTGGCCCTTGTGTGAAAAAACTGAATAAGATGTTAATGGTATAAAAAACAAAAGGTTAAACTCTCCCAGAAACAACTGGGTAGTGATTGGACGTGGGCTGGCTCAATGAGTGAATCCCTCACTCTAACTGCTGGTCGAGATGAAAGGGTTTTTCACCTTTCCAGGCTAGGAGAAACAAAAACTAAACAGAATTTTGTGACAAAGTAGGAAAATGCTTCTAATTACAAAATTAAGATCAACACATCCATGACATGCGCTGTCACACAGGCTGTGTGGGAGTGTTGCTTTTAAAAACACTTGGGAGGAAAAGCTTCCTATTTTTCCAAAGGGCCCCCTGGACAGTCTGATGGTCCTCAGGAGGCCAAGTGGAGTCCTCACAGCCCTGATTACATGATTGCAAGCAGGAGTCCCCAAGTATGGGTACGCGAATGGTTCAGCCACCCCCAAGGATAAGCAGGCTCAAGTCTGCTGTGGCTCACTGCATGACTGTGGCCCCTGTGATGTGCAGAGAACCTGTGAGCTTACAGTGATGTCAGTGAGCGCCACCTCACTACTCCATCTAACTCTTCTGTATGGCTCTGTGGCAGTCTTACTGTGGGAAACAGATGCTGTAATAAATAAGCAAGGATTTCAACAGAAAGTGCTCACCATCCTCATTCTCTTTGCCCTGGTACAGGAACCGCAGTGGTGAGAGGAACTTAACAACTGTCAATTCTAATTTAGCAGGCAGTTAAAAGGAATAAATGAGCTGGATTCCACATTGAGCTCTGGATAAAATTAAGAATGTGCCCTACTGTACCCCAACAATGGAGAGCAGATTTAAATATTAGCATAGCCAAGCTGTTAAGTGCCTTTTCTAGCATTTTTCTTCTAGTTATGACTTTACATCATTCTTCATTCTCCTTTATTTAAAAACAAAAGAAAGTCATTTAATGTCGGAGACAACATCTAATTAACAAATTGAAGCAACGAATATGAAATTCCTGTACAAACATGTTGACAAAGCTAATTACAGGGTGAAGATCTTAAATTGTTGTTGTTTTTTTACGCCTCTTCTGAAATAGACAGGCAGCTATAAACTAAACGAATTACTTGTCAATGTTGGTAATTGGGTTCAACCGCAATGAGGCAATCGGATATCTCATCATTGTAAAGGAGACTTCAAGTGACAGGATTGTGTTTTGCAGCTGGTGGTAGGGGGCAGCACATACATATTTGGGTTACCACAGTGGTTTATTATTATTAACCAGAGGCACAGGGGTCCCTAGAATCTCTCTGCCCAGAACGGCATTGTCTAAAATCAACAGCACTCAGTCTCCCACTGTGAACGGAACTTGTACTTCTGCTTTTAATGTGTTAGAATTTGAGATGATGCCACCAGAATAATTGTGATGAATCATCACAGTATCTCCTGACAAAAAGAATCTGGGGACATCCCCATCACATTTTTTTTTATAAAGCAAATGACTTCTTCAACCCTTAATCAGAAAGTCAAGACTCCGTACAGGATACACATGCTGATCAGGATTCACAACTTGACCAGCATGTCTTTAGAAGGTGGGAGAAATCGGTTCACCAGGGGAACTCCACAGCTGCCCCAATCTACAATCAAACCCAGGACAATGGAGCTGTGAGGTAGGAGCACTAAGCACTGCATCATCATGTCACACATCACAACTTCTTTCACATCTAAAAGTGCAAAAAGGATCTTTCATCCTATCATCATTGCTGTAGAGCAGAGACTTGTAACAAAAAGGGGAGTCAATGGGAAATTCCCCCAAAGATGGAAGAACAAACCTGTGTGTGAGAGGTGGTGGCTTTCACTTTGTCCTCCGGTGTGTATCAGTGTCTCTCAGCTCTGCTGATGAGAGGAAAGCTCTTCAGTTCGCTCCATGTGTTCTGAGGCCCTGCTAAACACTGCCAAAGCATGAATCAATGCAATATATTTAACCAGAGCAAAAACGCAGAGTCGTGACAGCACTTCCATCCTGAATTTGCTGCTACAAAGAGGGAGACCTGACAACGTGAGCCTAGGATTCCTCCACCAACGGGCTGGGAAATGAGAAGGATGCTGTGGATTGAAGTCTGGAATAGAAAGGTCCAAAATGAAAGTGGAAGTAAAGAGGAAGCATTCAGCACTTGCAGATAACCTACAGACAAGCCTGGATTTTCCAGCACGCCAGTGCAAAACTATTTTAAATTACTCTTGAAGTTATGACAAGCAGTAATACTCACCGAAACCTTTCAAAGACATTATTATTCAATTCAAGATCGGGGCCTGCTTCATTCTAAGAAAAATCGGAATTGGCTCAAGTCACAGAGGGTGAATACTTCTTTCTGCAACTCCACAGGAGTCAAAATCAGCCCGGCTCATTTTAGCACCATCTCTTCCAAATTTAGATAAAACACAAAGCTTGATGACTCTTCACGTCAGCAGCACCTATTCTCACCCGTACTTTAAAAAATACTTTTGTATAGAAGCCTTTTAATCTTTTCAATAAGCTGTGCACAGATATCTACAGAAGGAGGATTGCACTGATTACCTATGGGGTAGCTTTGTCTCCCCCCCTCCTCTACTGCCTAAAAACAGAGCAGTGGAACCCCAGCAGCTTACAGAGTAGTTCTGTTTTGATAACAGGCTGGTTTACATTCAAGTTTGGGCAGAAATCGAAACCCCTTGTGTGTTTTTTTGTGCAGATCTCTGGACTCCTCCCTGCCCAGCCCCATTCAAATCCCAAGCCAGTCTTGCACACACAAACACATACTCGCAATCTGACAGCTGGTAGAAAGCTCATTGAGACAAATAAAGATACCATAATTACCCTGCATTCATTTCTGAAAGTTAATCCCTGACCATTTTAGCCTTTCTGTTTACAGCGTCATTTTGTAAACGTTTACACAGCGCAGAATCTTTTTTTTGGACACAAACTTGAAGCTGTTTAACCAAGGCATTTTTATCTTAATGCTTCCCATTGTGAGTTGAGTGACTGAGGCTACAATGCAGGGGTGAGTCTGAACAGAGAGTTAGCCTGTCAAACCTCAATAGACAGGATTAAGACACAAAATATTGCCGAAGTCAGTGACATGCTGACACGTCCTTCTAAATACACTTCATTACGGTTTTAATCATTTATACCTTTAAGCGAATCAATACTGCTGGACACAATGACAACCTGCTCTGGGAGATACATCCAATAATGCTGGGTAGGCTTCACTCGCCAGAAGCATTAATCCAGAACGTTTCTAGAGTTATAAAGTCTCTATCCTTAAGCAAACAAAAGCATGACATCTCCTGCCAGTGCAGCTTCTACTGCAGCCTGACAAGGCTGAGCTTTGGAGAGACCCGTCAGCGCAAATGGACAAAGGTCACTGGACTTTGACCCTGACCCCTGCACATTTTCTTGGATTCTGCCGAGCCAGGCAGCTGATCTGCTAATGGAGCATCTGGTCTTAAAACAAAGATAACCAAGGCATGAACACAAAACACCTTGCCACGTTTCAGAGTGAACACAGCCCCACGACGGGCAGTTTTTATTTCATTTGGGAATATGTCTTTCTATACATCAAACATCAAAAACAGAATAAATCTGGAAAAGAACAAACATCGTGCCAGAATCAGACTGGTTTTCTGCTTCAGCTGTAATGAGGCTGGGTGCCAGTTGTCATCAGACCTCTCCTGCCCAGTTCGGGTTGTAGGACGAGTCATCATGGGCTGGCACCCTGTCCACAAACCCTGGCCCCAACAGCTCTCTCAGCCATGTCGCTGTAGGGCTGGGGTAGCCACTTCCTTATTTAAACAAGTGAAACTAAAGAGGGCTTTAAGGCAACACCACTGGTACGGGCAGAACAAAGGCATGTTACACTCTCTTCATAATATGTTACATTTTACACTACATTTTCAGTAGTCAGAAAAATAACACAAATCCATTGATCTGAAAAAAGTCAAAACAAATCGAAACTGCAGATTTAGACTTTGTTACAGAGTCAGCCTGGTTAAAGTGTCCCCAATACTGATAAACTGTCGAGATAAAGGCAGAGAAGGTATATAGTTAATGACCTCAGCCAATCATCTTCGGAATAAATTTTGACTCTCCATTACATTGCCTGCACCAGTGTTGTACCTGATTAAATCGAGGGTTTTAGGTCAGGTAACGAAGAGTAACCAGACGTCTATCTCAATGCCTGCCCTATCCTTAAAGCCCACTGACTGAAGATTTCTTGGCCCCAGCCCTGCAGTGATCTCCCCCCCCGCCTAAAAAACGAGCTGTTAAACCAGTCCAGAAGGTCAGGGTGCTTCCATCATCACACCGCCCCTGAACAGAGCACACAGGAATCTCCGCACAGGCCACGGAGGGGAATCAATGTCTTACTCCAGACAAAGGTACAAATAAACGTGGTAGCAAGCTCTCCGAAGCTCTTGTCATCTTGCCTGTCAGGATAATTAATCGGCAGGCTCAGATTAGAGTTCGAACCAAAATAAACGTATTTGTCTGCTGCCCCCTCAGCCACATTTCCACTTCTAACTTTCTTCCAAATTTCTAAGCGTTATAGCTGTGGTGAAGGCTTACGCCAGGACGGTTTAAGGAGCTCTGGATGTGATTCAGTGCATCTTACGTTGAAACCTCAGACACAAAATGAAACCACACCACACCCGCTAGACACAGTTTATAACGTTGCGGCTGTGTTGTGTAACGTCTTTAAAGCAGAGTAAGACACCGCCTCAAAAAGCTTTCTACTGCACGTGATAGAACTCTCTTTCTCGAAATAAGACTATGATATACATGTATGTACCTGAGGCTCTATGAAGATGTAAATGGATGTTTCCCGCATATCTAGCGACTACATGAAATATAAGGCTTGGAATAAATCCCTACATCAGGAATAAAAATACATTTGGAGTTTAAAATCACTCCAAAACGAGTGTTAAAATGTATTTATTCTCAACACGGGAGGAAGCAAAAAGCTAGGAGAGAGCTGACCACTTTCATACCTGTGTATTTAGACATACGGTGTGGAAATACAGACAGCTCCTTGCTCAACACACTTCGCCCAGCAACCCGGGTGAAAACAAGAGACAATGGCACCATCTGCTGGCAAGTTGACAGGCAACATTCCACATTGACCATTTAATTATTTTTCCAAAAACAAATGCGTATATTGTATATGTGAGTGGTGGTTGGGACAGTGAATACCACTCAAAGATTACTACTGAAAAATAATCATGTCATTGTATTACTGAACATATGAGGTTTATGAAAATGAACAGGAAAATTAATAACTAAAATACTTTAATCTTTGAGAAACCAATGTGTAGATTGACAAGAGGCTAATTTAGCAGAGACGGCACCCTTTACTCCATTTTCAGTGACTGTCTCATACCATCTTGACACAAACACTGAGTATCACTTCCCAAGACAGGAAATACAGAAAAAAATTCCAAAATGTAAAGTGGATCTGTCTTACACTTTTACTAAGCCGTATTAACGCTGGGCTATTACACAATTTACAGGTTTAAAATCAGATTCCCTCGTTTTTTCTGGTGGTGCAATTCTCAGCACTGCTTCTTCTGTCTGCAGAGCTGCAGCTACTGCAGAGATCAAGTCACCTATGACACTGACTGTAGCTCTCCAGTCCCAGAGGGACTCTTTTCCACTAAATCCTAGCTTGTGATGACAAAGCGCATTACATTCATTGAGCTCTGACATTTCATGTTCTAAATTTTCTTGGCATTGGGGTTTGACCCAATTATCTACAATCATCTGTAATGTAAAAGAAAAACCCCTAGGCAAATGTGCAATAAATATCTTCATCTCTCCATTAACTGCACAGAAAAAAAAAAGAAGCAAACAGCAAGGAAAGCATCTACCACGCTTACTCTAACCTCCCCTCTCTTTCTTGCGAGAGGATTCTTGTGTGCTCTGTGGTTCAGGGGTGGTCTTACCCTCAACAACCTGTGACTGTGGCATCAAGCCCCGAGCGCTTGGTGATGTGCAGTTTGGTGATCTCCTCAGCGCAGGTGGGGTGGATGCCCACCGTTGCCATCAGATGAGAGTAGGTGGCACCACACCTGAGACACGGAGACAACAGTGCATCAGGAACTGAGCAAAGCCGAACAAACAGGTCAAGGAACACTACTGCCCACAAGTACACTCGTACATCCCAAAGAGCCACAATATATAACGTGGGTGGCACCCAAGAAAGACTGTAACCCTGCAACGACTGAAAGAGTCCTAGGCTTTTATTTCTTAGGCCTAGCAGACACTCTTGTCAGCTGTCACTTGCATGCAGTCAACACAAAAACCAGATAAAATAATGCAAAAGAAACACAAGAAATCACAGTCTTGCAAAACAGTAAAACAAAAAAAAGACATTAAATGTAGCCATTCTGATGTTTATTTTAGGCTTTTTACACAAAGTATTCTCACATGATGTCGGCTGCTTCTTTCTATGAAAGTGCTGTGGGAGTCTGGAATTAGCTACCCAGCCATGTTGTTGAAGCTGATACCCTGGCTTCTTTCAGGAAATCACCGGATGAGGTCCTTGAATCAAACAGTAACTGGAAACTAAGCAGGCGGGATGGTCTGAATGGCTTCCTTTCATTTGCCACCTTTCTTATGCCCTATGGCTATTCTATTACTTGTGTGTACCTATACTGTATATAATCTCTCAGCCATGCATTTTAGCAAACTTCTTAATCTTTTTAAAACATACTGTACTGCAGCACAAGGGTTGTTCAATGAGTAAGTACTTATGAGTAAGAGAGCTGTAGGAATGGAGGTGCGAGCTTACTGTATTCCCAGAGCAAAGCCCTGTGTGACCTCTCCAGCACTAGGTCCAGTGAAGTGAAGCCCCAATATTCTCTGGTCACCATCTTGCAAGCATACCACCTAAAAGGAGAGTTCAGAGAACAGAAAATAATATTGTGCAGAAATAGTTTGTTGCAGGTGTTTTTTGAAATGGTCAATTTCAAAGCTTACACGTGCTCTATAAAATCAGCATAATACTAGGGAAAACCATCACCTTGATGTAGCACTGACTGGAATCTCTCCCTGCCACTGTGAACTCCAAAGGTTTGTAAAAGGCATGGAATACCTACAAATGGAAACGCAACAAATTAAAAAGAGCCAATATTTCAAATGAACATTGTACTGCAAATACTAAATAAATGACAAATATATGCTAATGACATGTCATTGTCTTGTGTATTCTGCTGAATAAAATATCAGTGACGGGCATGCACTGTTCATTGAAGACTAGCTTTCTTACACTGTGGCATGGCTAAAGAGGAAATTAAAACAAAACTCTTTAGAAGTGTATTTGATTATAGCATTTCTCTGATCAGACTTTTCTCCCTTCAAAAATTCTTTAAGGAAGACCTCCATCGGAAACAGGGAGTGATCGGTAGCTCTCTGCTTTTAGCACTGGACAACGTCGCTGAAATTGAAATACCACATGCTGAAGTTGGAAAATGGCTAACTGCAGCATTGCCTGCCTTTGCTGATCCGTGAGGACGTGTTCACACGTGTCATCTGGACCTTCTGAGCCATTTAGGATACCTGCTGCTCTTAGCTGTCAGAAATCAGTTTCTGATACCGCTTTCCGATAAAAGAACTGCACGTCGTCACTTGCAACCCATTTCAATCAAACCTCCTGTTTAAGTGTCAATCAGCCGGTGAGTCACGGCCCGGCGCTAAATTGTTTTCAGTTTGTTTTCCACAGGTGTTGGAAGCTCCCGCACAAAAGCACCCTGTTGTCAGGAGAGCGAGGGGAGAGCAGCTGCCCATGCTGTCAGCCATTATAGACAGAGGATCACGCCAGTCGGCCGCAGAACAACATAAAACCATAAAACGGAAGTGTGTGCAATGATAGATCGATTTAAAATAGCACGCTAACCAGTCTCGGGATTAGTATTGCTCTTCTGCTAAGCTGAAAAGGAACAATCATAAATGGCAAAATGATAGCTTTCTGTAAACAGGGTTTGCCAATTAAAATGCTGGTGCCCCCCAAGTGGCTTCACTGGTACAGATGCTCGATCAGAGTGCAGATTAAGCTCTACAATCCAGTGTCCCCAGTTCAAGCCTGGGTCATGTCACTAGTTAACTGACCGGGATTCCTTAAACTGCCACGGACAACCAGCTCGCAAGGGGTACGGCTGGGATTAGCGGGCTAGATCTCTCTTCTCAACAACTTCCTCGGAACCGGCAGGACCACTGGGAAATCCAGGAGGAAAATGCCTCTCCTCCGATGTGGACTAACCCTCCGGGGTGACATTGTACAGCTTGTAGCAGGTCAAGGGATGACCAGCTCAGTGGTCAGGTGGGAGGGGCCTGTCTGCACCTCCTCATTCACACGTGGTCACGGTGGGGAGGTGGGATGTAAACATGCAACAGGCTGTTCCAAGCTGGGAGGGTGTATAACAAAAATAAAGGACTTCTACATTTAAAGAAAATGAAAATAACCTTGCACCAGAACAGCCGATTTTGAGTGAAGATCAACTTCAAAATGATGAAAATGAGAAAAAAAAAGGCGGAATATTTTGTTGGCTGTGCACCCGTCTCCTCTCAGTCTCCTGACAGCCTGCACAGATTTACCTCTATGTTATCTTCTCCATGACGTCTGACTGCCTCTTCCTCTGACAGTCCAACACAGCCGTATTCCAAAGGAGTGAACACAGTGGTAGGGACCTGGGAGACCAACAAAACCACAAAGTTGACTGTACAGCTTGTCCACTTAGCCATGGTCCCTGAATGACTGAATGAGTCCCGCTGGCTAATTCAGGTATTTTACAACCCTATATCAGCAATGAAAACTGCCAAAGAAACCGGACTTTAATCAAAAAACAGAATCCGTGCATCACATCTAAAAACACTGAAGTTACTGTATATTAAGCACAGCTAAAAAAAAATGTCAGGATAGTTAAGTAAATAGGAAAACTGCTAAGGTTCTTCTTATTTCCATGAAAAAATAATTGTGTTCGCTGAAGAATCTTGACGATTCGGTTGCATATTTTTCACCACGTTTTTTGATTTGTGGACGAACTCTTTTATGATAAGCTTCAAAGGCTCATACAAGGAGGGTCTGCAGGAAAAAAATCGGACAAGCTTGTGCTGGTGATGAAAAGCATCTAATAAAAAACAGCAAAGCCATCAGCCATCAGAAACTTGGGGGAAAAACTGACTCACATTGTCATAGTTCATCAGCTCGCTCGCCTTGTCAAAGAGCCTCCTGGCCAGCAGTTTCCCTGCCTTAATGGCTGTGGGGGTGAGTTCGGGCCGGTCCTGCAAACACAAGATACAGTTATATCGGGTGTTTAGTGCCTTACTGTTGCATCTCTAACAGGCACCAGGCACAGTATCCTGCTGTTATCATGCAATAAACATCTGCAAAACTTTGTTTTCCATGTGATATGAGGAAAACTCTCAGGATAATTGATTTCATGCAATCCAAAGGAGTAATGTTATAGGAAAGCAGTAAAAAAAAAAACTTTTTTCACGGTGAATAAAAAAAGTGTTTTCAGACAGCTGTTCTTTGTCAATATGAGTAAGCATCTATGTATACATAGTTTAATTTAAAGTCTGCTATTGGCTTGGTTAAAGAGAGGAATGTTAAAGTTTAAGGATATGGTTTCACAAAACTATAGATCAATTCAAGACAAAGGCTTGGTTCCAATTTCGTTTTATTTAAATACATTTTCTCTCTGGCTCTACTATAAAAATATCGCCTAGTAGCTATAATATACATTTAGATATGTATTGTTGATAAGATCTTCTACCCCACCACGTCCCGCCAAAAAACCTTCTATGTATGCACTATGTGATAAATAAGGAGAAACTGTCTACTACATCTACCACAACATAAGGAGTTCATGTTGCATTGCCAGTTTTGCTCTGGTGGGAAAACAAACACCAAAAAGCATTCTTTTCATTGTTTGTTTTCCATGTCGCAAATGTGTTTTTTATTGAAAACGGCAAGGGAAAAAAACATTGGTAAAACATTCACGCCCCGTTTAAAAGTTCATCTTTAAAAAAAACGCAAATAACAAAATAATGGGTACCAGGTAGAGTAAATACTATGTCTATGCAGGTGAGCATGAACGAGTTTCTGCTTTTTTTCCCCAATGCAGATGTTGACGTTTTTCAATGGCAACCTTCAGTCTCCCTTAAATGAACTTGTAAAAGTTCTCTGATGCATGTGGTCCACAGCTTCATGAAGTCCAACACAGATTCACTCTGAAACAGTAACAGCCTTTTCATACATGTGTGAATATCAGTGGAAGAAAAAGCTGTGAGGAGTCAAAAGGCAGAACAGGGAACTTGATCTTCACTGAATGACTAAACACTTAAACATTTTTCAAACATTTTATTAGTTCTTCAAAAAAGGCAGATGTCATGGATGTGTCAATGTCCTGCAGACTGATACAATTCTTTGTCCTGTATGATGTACCAGAGCAGCTGTGACCTGGACAGACAGCCAATACCATAAAAAATATAAAAGGCTTTGTTTCTTGTCATATCAACCAGAAGATCACTAGATAAGAATTTGAAAAGTAGTGGAGTAATGGGCTGAAAATGAGTTTTACTGCTTGTCCCGTCCTCTTCAGTATCGTATTTTTGTGGCGGATCATTTGCAGTGTTGAGGTTAGCGACAACAGCTCAGGTGTGGGAAAACTAACTTCTGTTCATCATCCTTCTGGCAGTTCCAATCACAGACTGAATTCCAAGTCTTTCCATCTCCACAAAAAACACAGGCCAGACGTGTGGGAGAAAATGTTCTTCTCTGTTTTTTTTGCAAGTTCATTTTCTTTATTCGGACCTTTCAGAAAGCTAGCCTTGAAGGGACCAGAGGGCTTGGCTACACATCAAGGCAGATGATATTTAATCCCACATGCCTTTTTAGATTCCTAGTTTTCTGAATCACTGCCATTGTTATTTCCAGATAGGTGTTCCTATTGAGACAGATTTATGGCTACACAGAGAAATGTCACGGACAGCTACAGAGAAATACCCCAGGGAAAAGGGTAGGAACTGCGAGGTGAATTTTATATATTGCTCTCAAACCCTCCTTTCCTGCTTTATTAGATATGGAAACCTAATTAGTTCTTTTTTTTATCCCTCTGGAAATACTAAATGGTTTGGATCAATCAAGTGGTATGATTGCAAAGTTTGAAAATGCAGTGACTCCTGTAAGAATGGAAACACAAATCCACTGCACAAGTACTGCCGATACTCCACTTAAAACTGAGAACATTCCAATCTGTCCAGCTGTGATTTTTAACAACTATCAGTTTTTCGGCTGGTTTTCCAGGCTTGTCTTTACATTGCCCTTTACAGTACAAAAAATATTGTATTTCTAATTAGATCTTTTTTAATTCCTCTGGTACAACTTAATGATTTGGATCAACCAAGTGGTATGAGTGCAAAGTTTGAAATTACTATATATATACATACATGGGCAGTGGAGTCACTAAAAGCCCAAGAAGTACTAGAAAGGTGACATGGTGACAACTAGGTTCCACTATTCACTAGTTCATCTATGGAAGTTCATTTGCAAAGATCCTTAGAGTTCTGGTTCCTATCCCCAGCCCTGAAGCACCCATGTGGTTAATTCCAACCCTGAAGCATAATTTGATTATTTGATTCAACGTGATGCTTATTGAATTCTTTCAAATGGTTTTCTGCAACCCAGTGCTCAGTTCAGAAAACAATATTGGTTCTATGGACATTGTCTCCAAGAACTTTAAGAGGACTACTCTCAGTCTCTCGACTTGCCTATTAAGGTTATCCATGGCAGTCTCAATAACTCCTAGCAGTTATCGCCTGGAAGCAGCTGGGATGAGAACAGGCATTTCTTGCTCCTCAGGGGAGTAAAGAGCCCAGTCAGAAAGGAGTCATGTGTTGTGAACTGGTGCAGGGTTGCATTGATTTCTGAAACCAGATCAGAACTGGTTTTAAACCCGTTTTAAAGGCTTAATCAGTGCGCAGCACCTCTGTGAATGGGCTCATACAGCTCTTAAGGGTTCGCTGGATACAACTGGGACAAAAAACCAGAAGACTGTGGGCTCCTTCAGAGCCAGGGATGAGACTGATGCTTCAGAAGACCTTAACCGAGACTCACCTCGCTGGCATCCCCAAGGGCGTAGATATGAGGCACGGATGTTGCATCGTTGGCAGATACAATAACTTTCCCAGATTCTCGGTTGACCACCACGCCGATTTTTTCCAGCCCGAGAGCTTTAGTTTCAGGAGCTCTTCCTGCAGGTAGAAAAGACACCCATCAGCAGTGTAAAAACATTTCATTTTCTATTCACATCTAGACACATCAAAGACCCAGGATGTGTCGCACACATGCCTTGAACTCTCCCTGCAAGATGCAATGACCAGAATCTCTAAGATCCCACTTGAATAAGTCATTGCACTAACTGAACAAAATGGAAAATGCATGCAGACTACAGCCATAACGTAAGTGCAGGAAAAGAAAAACATATCATATCAACGAGATCATCACAGATAACAGGTCTGCACAGTAGCTTCCCAAAGTTAGCATGCTCATCATTACAAACTGTTAAGCTACTAATTCCTCAGGGGTTTATTTATATCTATTTTTTTAACTGTACAACTGTTGAAAAATGTCCAGAAGTAGTTATAAACCTTATCTAAGAATTTTAAGCAAACAAACACACTGCATTTGGTCATAAAAAAACACAAAATAAAAAAAAAATCAGCCCATCTTTTAACACTGGTCCAATTATCGCAAACGTGTATGTGAATCATTTTGCCACACATCTGCCATCTGGCCCCTAGTGTCATGTCTGATCGTCTGTAAGAGTCTCTGTGTATACATTTTCATCTGCCTGGACCGCACTTCCTCTGGGACAGCTGACTGATGCTGTCGACACTCTCCGATCTCTCGCTCTGCCTCTCCCATCGTCTGCGGGAGACTCTTTCTTCTGGTTCCCTCAGTAACACAATAAACACTCCCTCACCCCCACCCCCCCTGCTCGCAGGGCCAGGCCGTGTGGATGCTGATGCTATCACGCAGCAAAAAAAAATAAACGCAGAGACCTTTTCCTGGCTGGGCCAAGAAACAACTTCCTCCTTCTCCTGAGCTGGGAGAGCTGGATTGTGCGAGACGAGCAGTTTGCACATGGAGACATTGAGCATTCCTGTAGATTGTGGGGATTTGTGGGGGTGGTCGTGGTGGTGGGGGAATTCAAACACCTCTTGCTTCCTGGAAAAGTTAGGCCAGTGACTGCTCGATACTGCAGACTACAGCATTTCTAATTGTCCTCTTTTTCTGTATTGAAACAGTCCAGACATCAGCCATCTGAGTTGTCCATTATGAGTTGCATTTCTAATTTCCTGTCATTTTAAATGACCGATTTCATCATGACATTTCAGGTTGATCTTTAACTTTTTCCCCCGCACTTGTTTCCCAGCTCTGATTCTTGATGGGAACTGTATTGGTACTGCAGTAACAAATACCTTCGCCTTGTGTGCCTGCAGTGAAAGGGACCCTTTGTTTAAAACCGTATTCTTGCACGAGAAAATTCCAGCAGCAAGATTCCTTCATTTTGTTTTCTACACTTCTGAAGTCCTTGGCTTTGCTGCACCCTGAAGCTCCCACGCACACTGCTTTCCACAGTTTTATATTAACGTATCGGAGACACATCTGGTTCTCCATTTTCAGCAAGAGCAACAGTAACGGCTCGCTGCTGCCTGTTCATTGTAAACACCACAACATTCACTTGTGATGAAAGCATCTGATGTGATGTTCAACCGCAGAATGAAAATAAGATTAAAAAAATCCAGCGTTTTGGAATTGTTACAGAAATTCCTTGAATCGTCCTTGAAGCGCAGTTCTATATATAGCAGTTTTCGGGGTCCTTTTTCTTCCCTTCTCTGTTTATCATGGCTTGGCGGTGACTAGAAATCTCTGTTGTGCGCAGCGAATGAATGACACTCAGTCACAGATAAGGGTGTTCATTTAGAATCCAGCACAGAAATTCCAAACACGCAGGACTGGCCGCCAGACCCCCACAATCAAGGAAGAACAAACGGCTGCCATGGCAGAAAACGCCAAGGGTAGAAAAAGTAATTAGCCACAACCACTGCGTTGGCAACACATTCAATGAGGTTAAATTATCATCCAGGTAAAAAAAAAACAAAAACAAAGGGATACTCTACATTTATTTACAAGGTACTGCCACTATATGATTCTATTAGTGATGACCTTATTAGTATAAGCTCCCGAATGTGTTTTTTTCCTAATTCTTTATTCCTCATTTCCCATATCACCAAACTCTCTCCAGTTGTCAAAGTGCATTAGTATGCAGCTCTCCTTGGGTGTCAGTTTTATACACAGAGTAGGCACTTACAGAGTATATAAAAATCAAGGGTTTAGGGATCACAACTCATAAATTACTGTCTGATGGTTTCCTGCCGCAGGAAAAGGGGCGAGAGAACAGCAATGGGGGGGCTTTTCTGAGCTGCTGTCAGATTGAGTATTCTATTACAATCTGAACACAAATACAATGTAGTGAAATCATCATTTCTACATCATCATCATCATCATCATACATCATCATTGCCACCAGCTGATATTCCTCACTGTGGGTCACCTAGTTGCCGCAGCTGTAAAAAAATGCTTCTCTTTCACTTTAACTACAGTTATATAGTTCTTCACGTCCAAAAAACGATGGTGTAAAAGGCTACAGGTGCTAGCAGTAGCAATTTCACCCTGCAACTCACAACTGGCAACCCACTGAAGCTCAGCAGGTGTGAGCCTGGTCAGTACCTGGATGGGAGACCTCCTGGGAAAGCTAAGGTTGCTGCTGGTAGAGGTGTTAGTGAGGCCAGCAACAAGCCACGTGTCCTTAGGTATTACAGGCAGCTCATCAACAAATGCACTGTTTTTTATAATCATCCAGAAGTGATAAATAAATCAACTATACATATTGCAAAAAGATTCACTTTTGAAAGTATGGTCTGATGATCGTTCAGCTGGTCAGACTGCGGAATGAAGGTGGAGGAAGAAGACAGCTGTGTGCGTGCTCACAGCTCAAGCAGGGAAGGGGGTCCTGCTTTCAATCCAACACCTTATCTAGAGGGATAGCAGGCAGGAAATCCTCAGTGCTGCTCCGTTTCCTAACCTATTATCCAGGACACCTGGTGTGGGTGTGTCCGCGGATTAAAAACAATGACTTACAACACCAATTTTGAATTCCTCTCTCTGACTGGATCTGAAGCTGAAGGGTGGGGCGTCTCAGCCAGCATCCGTGCCAGTAAGCTAGGGGCACGTGTGCCAGTACATGATTCCAGTGTGGCTACTGTTGTTCTAACGCAGACCGACGTCCCTTCTTGTGTTTAACCTCCATCTGCAAAAACTCACAATCCATCTGCACAGAATGTATCGATTGGCTTCTAGTGAAAACGACTCATCTAGTGAAACAACATCTGTAGGAGATGAGAACACTGAGTAACCTCTCACACAACTGTTAGAATTAACATGGGGTCTGTCAGGCCTCTGTAAGGCTGATCCAGTATACAATAAAGCAAATGGTACTTGTGCCTTTAACAGCACCTCAAGCATAAAACCTGACAAAGTGTTCTTGTAGAAGTCCTGCATAAGTATTTATTCCCATAGACATTTTCAGCTATTATCATGAGAGTGTAAGTTCAAACTCAATAGCAGATAGCATGCTTACCCTTAAACACTGGACCTCTCTGTGAAAACAAATAGAACAAGGCTAAGTGCAAGTGCTCATATAATGGCAAACTACTTCTGAAACTTCAATTGTAAGCCTTATTAAGAGTCAAGTACAGGAGACCGCCTAGAGCACAAGGAAACACTATTCCCTATTGGCAGGGTAGAGAACTGGGATGGTCAGTTATCTTTTTCCAGAAACAACCTGTCATTGTCTGGCCAACCCTGACGCAAATACAACACAACGGAGCTCCCAAACAGTTCCCACTGTCTATCCTCTGATGGAATCAGAAAGAAAAACGAGTCAATTCAAAACCTGGCAAAAGCCAATCACAGGTAATAAAAGTGGAGAAGCAAAAAAAAAAAGCACACAGACAAATGTGCGATTTCCGCAAAAGGGGCATCAACCAGGAAACCCAAACTGAAAGAACAAAAGAGGGAATTCAATGACCTCCTTCACAGGGACATCCTGATAAAGAAAGCCTGCAATCCACATGGCCGATATGAAACTTCCTGTGATATTTCCATAATACCACATTTATTACTTTGTTTTGCATTTGATAGTCTCACTCTGTGCTGACACTGCATGTCTTTCTTTCGCTAAGCAATTAAAAACCTCTGTATCGCACAAGACATAACAGAACAGTATGTCTGCCACTATTGGAAAGAACTGTGCCTCTTTCTCTATATTTATATGTGTGTCCACTAATTAAATAGAGAGAAATAACATCTGCTTTAATGGTTGCTGCTCAACAGGGAGTGGTTCTGAAAAATCATGCTACAGATGAGGAGGCTGTGTTCTCAGGCAGGTGTAATGGTCTGGAGATCTCAAACAATTGGACCTGCCGAAGAAGAATGTCAGAATTCACAAATACAAAGTTTGTGAGAGGGCAGGTGCTTTGCTTTAATGGGTCGTGGAACCTGGGAGCTTTTCTTGCAGAATCTGTGCAAGGCCGGCATGCTCACCTATAGCCCACAGCATGGTGTCAAAGGTGTCCCCATCTTCCCTGCCGGTGTCCAGATCCATCCATGTCACCCGGAGGCCTCCTGTCTGCAGCTTCTCCACTTTCTTGGGAACACACTTCCAGATGAACTTGGTACCATAGGACTCCATGTAATCAGTCACCAGGTGGGCCATTTGCTGCAAAAGCACCAAATCAGAATTACTGAACTATTTACAAAATTTGGGATTTGAAATGGCTTTCCTAGTATTCCAGTAGGACGACAGCCCTTTGTTTTTAAAATGACAAATCCCTGACAAGTTGTTGTTTTTTTATACTTTTGGTTACTCATGTGAAAATCAAAAATGATCACTAAAAAGCATTTAAAGAACAGTTTCATTGTCTTTCCCAGATAAAAAACAAAACAAAACAAAACAAGCCGAGCCAAGCCTGTACAGCACCTCTTCCTGTTATTGCCAAGTATGCTGTCAATCTCCCTGTGGTGACTCAGATGAGAAATCCATGTAGCTCTTTCCACTGCATCTACCCCACCACTTACAGCAGACGTCTGAGCGGGACACCTTTAATAAATCACCTGGAAACTAAGCCAGTGCTGCTGCTGCCAAATTACTGTCACTGGGGCTTCTTCATTCACAAATGTCATAGGGCTTTTAATAGCAACGAATTGTCATGTTTAAAATATGCAATAATTGTTTCAGAATGATACATGAAAATAAAAAAGAAAATCCCACACACAGCGAAGGGTTCTGGCTGCAGTGGTTAATCTCTTCCTTTTGTAATGAAAAGACTGCAGGCACGGCACCTAGTCATACTTCCAACTGCCCCAGGCAGGCAGCTACAAGCTCACTCCTGAGCTGTACTGTCTGTAGACACTGCCAACTCTGGGACAGGCAGCACAGCCATGCTTGAAACAAATTGGGGGAATTTAAATCCCTTTTGTTCAAACCAATTATGAGATTTTGTCAGGTCAATGTAGGTAAAAAAAAATGTTTATGTTCAAACAGCCTCGTTGAGCATACTTAGCATGTCTCAGACAAGTGTATCTGACTAACATATATTTCTAATTAAGCATGTTTTCCTACTGGTTAATGCTTAACAATTGACAATTCACTTTGCTTTTCATGGTATTGCAGTAGACCTCACAGAGGTTGGAAATACCACCAACACCCCCAAAAAAATAGATACTTCAAGCACTTAGTTCTTTTTCATTCACATGCAGACATGTATTCTGATGACACTAAATGTGTTGAAGACTGTTTCTTAGACTGCTGTTGAAACACCCTGCCAGCAACGTCACCAGATAGCATGGACTCTTGTGTGGGCAACGTGTTCCTACTTTGCTCCTACTTGTTCCATCTTCTGAGCGCTCCACTCAAATAAGTCTCATAGTCCTGGCCATGTAAATTGCAAATGAATACTTTGTTCATTGGTGTGTGTGTGTGCGCTGTAAAGTACAACCATTAGTACTGCTGGACCTAGTGCATGCGAGGTCTCTCGGAGCTCAAGAATGCTCGTGACTCGCCAAGCTCCCTGCACAGACCTTCCACACAGCTGTTCTGGCTCTTCTACAGCTCTGAGCGCTCCAGACAGCCCCGTCTTACACAGCTGTGCAGGCCTGTCCAGTTCCCCACTCTTTGAATGGATAGTTTTAAAAGAAAGCATCAGATGACCAGCTTGTGGAAAAAATGTCATGCTGTAAGCTTTTCACAGTTTCAGAGGCAGTGTTTTTTTTTGTATCTGCACTTCAAGCTATGCCAAGTTTTAATGGGGTTTAGAATGGCTTTATTAAAACCACCCATCGGCCACCATGTACAGTCAACACCTGCTCTAAAAACCAGACCTGCAAATTACAGTGGCTTAATAAACATGCAGAATTCAAAATAATCAGATGATCTGATAAAGTGATGTTAATAAAAGTTCAGCCAAACCTGCTGGAAACCATACCTGGTCGAACCCTCGAAGGGGAATACTGCGCACCATAATGGAGGTGTCCAAGCCGATGCCTGTTAGAAAGCCAGCACACTCCAGGGCAACATCTTCAGGACAGCAAGTTCAGGAATACAAAGTCACACATGGATTACAAGCTTTACAGCTTGGACAAGGGACAAGGGACAACTAAAATGCATTCAAGAACTCTTGGATTAAGCACTTGCATTGCTCCAAGAAGCAGAAGATCATACCACATGCTACAATAAGACAATGCTGCAGAAACCGGGTTTACATCAATTCTTTTCTCAACATTATATATGCTGGGTGGTAAACATATCAATCGACACATGTGAACTCATAAAGTAGTTTACAAATACATCCGGTTCAACTGCATCCTTGAAACACAGTGGGGTGCCTGTGCAATTGATACGGTCTGTATGTTTTCACCAACAGCAAGTGCTGCTGCAGTCAGTGGCTGTCAGGCCTAATCAGCAGCCTGACAGGAGGAGAAGAATCTCTCCCCCACCCCCCTTCCTCAGGGAGATGATCCTTCCTGCTGGAAAATTCTCTAATGGTGGACATGTCGCTCCAGAGCTCCAGAGCACATCCACCCAAGCAGCGGTTTGTCGGAAGGATACAGCTAGCACCAACGACTAACCTGAGAGAAAGGAGAAAGGTCAAAGGTCATGCAAAAATCTATAGAGGGAGGTGATGTTAAAATTGTAAATGCATGAGCAGGACCCGATTGGGCTTTCTGTGCACACATTTGGTCACCACATTACAACGATACAGTTTATAATAAATGCCTGTGCTCTACAATCAGTTCAGAGAAGAGCAAACTGGGTTACAAGCCAGGGTTCAAAGGGATGATCTCCACAGGGAGATGATCTTTCTTGCTGAAAACTCTCTAAACTCCCTGTCCTACATCGAACCTATTTAGCCTAGACCAGAGAAGACAAGATGTCCGCAGGCTTGACTTTGTCAGATCCTTTAAGGATATTTACTATTTGGATCAGGTCTCCTCATTAGGAACCAACACAATTAGGGTGAAACACAAACCAAAGGACACAGGTGAAAACTATCTGGAAGTGCATTTAAAACCAAGAACAGGATGTATGCAGGGTGGAACAAGCTATTCAGCCACAATGCTGAACCTAAAAGCATTGTTTATTTTAAGTAAAATCTGAACCAACAGTTGTTATTCCATGAACAACTCGGTAATCAAGTAAATTATTCCAATAGAAAAAAACAACAACAAATTAGTTTCATACCTCAAATAAAAAAAAAATATTTTAGAAAAATGCACTAATTGTAAAACCATCCAAACATAAATCAAAACATTTTAAAAAATCAAATTTGCCAAAAACTATCCTTTAATACCCAACTCATGCACTAGCTCATGAAGTAACTCCTGGTTTATATTTTCACAAAACCACAGACCATCCGAAAAGGTCTACACCAGATCAGCCTGAAAAGGAAATGATTTGCACAGGGTTGGTTTAAACGTTGCAGTGTTCCACTCATTCACACAGTAGGAAGAGCAGAAAGCAGGCAGAGACTGTGTGGGGCCCTGGTGAATCACACCTTTAATCCACTGGTAAGATATAGTGCTGCAAGAATAGGTCATTGTAATGTCACTCTTGACCCCTACAGATACTAAACACTACATCCCTGTCTCAATGCATGCTCCACAGCACCATCTAATTCCAGCATTTACAATGATATAACTCTTCCTTCGGGAGGGAATGACACTGCTCTTCACATTTCAGTTCAACTTGACAGCCAAGTGCCTGGGAGTCATTCACTCATACAAAAGCTGGCACATTTCAGACAAGCATCCCCAACTTGCAACTGTCCACTTAACGTATAGCTGTACTTAACACACATTGTAGGATGGCTTATGGGATTAGGCAGGGAGCTTTGCCGCTATTCCAGAGTTTTATGGCAGAGACACATCCTATGTGATAGCTGGTTTATTTTTCCCCTGGGGACGTCGCAACGATTTGCTCTCATCTTCCATCTGCCATCTCTCTGGCCGAGTTGTAGGCAAAAGGTATGTGCAGGTGAGAATCTGTAATGAGGAAACAGTCCTTCTGAACTGATCCGCCTTTCCAACTTCTTTAGGTCAAAGACACCCCAGAAAACTAAATATGGAAAATTGGTAAAGTTCATTTATTTAAGGGAAAACTGGAAATGAAAAATTAAACTAACAGTGCATTTAACCGGAAAAAACACATCCAATAAAATATTGCATAAAAAAACTAGACTCTACAAGCACACCACAGTAACTGAGGACAGGGTACTTGGTAAGCATTTCTAAAAACTTTAAAGGTACTAACAAAGTCAACACATGGGACTATTTAAAAACCAACAATGAACAAATAACCTCAGAACACATTATTCAATATTATTGCTATTATTTATTTGTCCGATGCTTTTATCAGAAGCAACTGACATTTGTACCCAGTAAAACAGAAGGTATTTTACTGGAGCCATCTGAGCGAAGTACCTGGGTTCAATCGCACCACAGCCCTAACCACTGCTCCACCTTTATTTTCGCAGAGCATCGTGGGGGTGGAGCACAAGCCCTCCAGCCACGTTCTCGAAGCAGATTACCTGGGATCTTTCAAGAAACAGCTGGACGAGAGCTGTGGTTCAAAAAGCTGCTGGCAACCCAGTAAGAAACAAGGGTGTCTTGTCATTTGTAACCCTTCTTTTATTCTGCCAAGAATCAGCTTCTTAATTTTGTGGGACCCTTGGAACCACTATTTTTTTTTTGCCAGTGGGACATCTCTGAGCATCACTCCAGACTCGGCTAACCCAGGCTTTTATTTTGGGTGGTTTCACGTTCCGAACTGGGGAATGTGAACTGGGTTTAGTCATGAGGCAGGTTCTTTGCCTCCTCAATGAACTGCAGGGTTCAGACGCTGGTTGCCAGTGCTTGGCTGAGGGGCCAAAGATGTGAAGCTGCCACCTGGGGGAGTATGACTGAAGGTCTCCAACCCCCATGAAAGTTGCAGCACCCGTTAATTTTGGAGGCTAGACAAATTCCATAACTAGACACTTGTATCAAAAAGACACACGTGTATTTGGCACTCTGCGCTGCTTTGGTCCTGAGCTCTATTAACCTTGGGCTGCTATCCGTTATCTCAGGGCCCTGTGATGATAGCACAGAAACAGCTCAGCTCCAGCTGCAGAGGAGTTACTCCAGAAAGGCAGCAGCGTGTCCTTCTGTGTCTGACCCTAATCCGTGCCTCTAGACCTTGGCATTAATGGCGCTTTCTACAGACGCTCACAGGCACAGGGTGAAGAAACACAGAAAAGCTACTGTAGCCCCCGCAGGCTTTATTTTAACTAAAACTCAGGAATGCGATGTGTAAACACTATACTCCCTTAATACACTGTTACAACTTGCACTCACAGCCAAGTGGACAAAAGCCGTGCTGGGAAGAGTAATTTTTTTGTTTGATTCCTTCAGCTGTTCCCTACAAGGCTTTGTGCAGGACTTAATGCAGATTTTTTTATTCACTGCTCATTACAACACTTCCAATAAACTGCCTCTAAGAGATCTGCACGCAATCTGCAGAGACCTATTACAATTTTTAATTGGCTTTGCAAAGATTAATACGTAGGTTGTACATTTACAAAGAGGGTTTGTATACATCAAAATTATGTTTAAATTACATGTATCGTTTTAAAAATAAATACGCTTTTTTAATTCTAATTGCAAATGTCAGTTTCAGTGAAAGCAGAATTGTCTGCCCAGTAAACTCCTCAGTTAGTAAAGAGCAATTCTGATCATTGCTCCTTCCTCAGTGAAAGTATTAGCTCCAAGAGCATATTTTGCAAAATTTTTTGATTGACCAAGCTTGTAATTTCCATTTTTTAATCTAAAAATCACTCATGCAATAAAGAGGAACATGTTTAATGAAAACTGACCTCCTCAAAACTAGAAACTAATGTACAGCAATGAAACGTGTACATTTCCTACTTTAATTCTAAACTCTTTCAAAACACTGCCATACTAATAAATTCACTAGACAGTCAAGCTTGCACCCAGGATCCCAAACTGCAGGATCCAGTTGACAGATCTATTATTCTTCAACGATCTCACAAACCCCACATGAGGAAGATGCACACGTTTTCAGACTACACCATCATGTATAGGCTATCATCCCTAAGAGAAGACTGGGCTGTCGAACTGTCTTGACCGGTCTTGCATGAAATTACACAGGCTCAGGTGTGCAGAGTCGCGGGCCTGCCCCAGCGATTACAAATCATTCACTTCTGCCCTCAATAGTCATCAGACGCTGCAGGTGATATTACTAAGACTGCGTGGAAATAGGCTGTCAACTGCTCTCTCAGCTGCTATCTATCCAGTACCATCTGTGGGAATGACAACAACGCAAAAAAGAAAAGAAGGGAGAGGGCATGTCTCAAGATGCTGTACTTCACAGACAAGACTCCAAAACAAACTAGTTTGCATAAAAAAGTCTACAAACCTTATTCGCTTACGATTAGACCCTGTCATTCTGCCATACTCAAAGAAGTTGACATAATGTATTTTTTATCAACCTGCTTTTAAAAAGGAAAAGAAAACTACAGGAGATACACCAGCAGTATTATAAAAACAATTAAAATAGTTTTATCTCATCTCATCTCTTACGGAATGAGTGAACAATTTCATTGGAAAGAGAAGAAAAAGATTAATGGTGAATATATACTGCCACCATGTGGCAAAACATAATCACTACAACCATACACAGATCCCACTTCACACACACTGCTCCAAACAGAACCTCTCACTTGGACAAGACCGAAAACGCGAGAGAAAGTGGAACCTTAAGAATATAATTCAGGGTACACACACAGATGCACATAATCAGCGACATGGGAGGTAGTTTTACTCACGTTTTTCCAGGTGATTCTTTCAGCCAGAAAATGTCATCACTTGAAATTCCATGTTCTAATGCCCCTGGAACCTGACACAGAAAACAAATTAGCTGATGAGATCAGACAAGCGATTTATCTCCAGGCATGATTATTTTTTTTCCTCCCTGTGATTTTTCACACCTATTCAGTGCACCTTAAAAACTGCAATCGACATGTCATGAAGCCAAAAAAGAAAAACACAGAAAATATGTTTCAGAACTGGAATCACTCAGAAGGCATGTGATGTGGTATGCTTTACAAGCATAAACAGCTGAACAGATCTGCATCGAAGAACAGGACCCAGGCAGCTGATTAAGAGATAACACTTATCTCTCCATGCAGATGATCTGGTGCTTGACTTGCACAAAAGAAGATACCATTTTCACCATCATTAAAGAGGGAAAACCTCTTTGCAGCTGACCACGAACAATTAAATAGTTATGAAAGGCCAAAACAAGCACTGCCTCAGGAGGACTACAATATACCATTTCATAATAAGAGGTCTTATTTAAGACATGGTCCGAGTCTCTGCTGATCAGTCTTAATGAATTCTTGCCTACAGATTCTGTTCTTCCAATTCTGCTGAATGTAAATTATGTGGGGAGACTCACATTTGTTGGGTACCTTGGCCGTCCTCCTGTTGCAATCACGATATTCTCAGCTGTAAGGACAGTCTGCAGATACATGGAACAAGAAATAGCATTTAATTTCCCAGTGGGGAAAAAAACTATGCCTCAGTAATTCTCCTGAAGTGGATTAAAGACAGCTCCACGTATATAGTTTTAAAGAAACAAACTTATTTAATCTTTTACTTGTTGTACTTGTTTGATAAAAAGTACTTCACAGCTCAGTTGCTTTTAACAAGCAGACTCATTGATCCGTTTCATCTCATGAAGTCTACTTATCTGATAATTTCTTCTGTCTGTCATGTCATACATTAAATGAAGACAGTAACCTTAACTTGAGCTTTTTAAAAACCCAATGAGTAAATCAAGAGAAGAACAACAAAATTGTTTCGGTCACCTTTTCAATTCAACATTTCATTAAACTCAGTATTTATTCTTCAGCTTACCTCCTTACCAGATGCAGAGACTCCTCTAATAGTGTGTTCATCTACAAAGCTTCCTTTCAGGTTCAAATACTTCACTTTTCTGTCAAGGTCAGAAAGATAAGATGTAAGACTCTGACAGATTAAGTTGAGTGGCAACAAATCCTTACATAAAAACATAGGGAAGAGCCCAGAAGGCTCAAATCAGCACAAGCCTAAAACTAAACTAGATGTCCCACTGGCCTAAAAACTGAACTTTACCCTATTTATTAATTTAATAGCATAATTCCTTAGTGAATTCTTAAGATAAAAAAAGGTTTCTAAGCTATATATCCTAATAATGTAGTTATTTCATAACTACTTCCTGTAAATACTGCACACATGAACAGAGAGTGTACTCCTGTGATTAAGCACCTGTTTGGCCTGCAGCCATTCAGCCTGAGCAATTCTAGTAAACTGTGATAACCTGTTGGTGCAAAGAGGTTTGCAGTCCCTTAGAGGTAAGAACGATAAAGGATATCGTTATAACTTCACAGGAAGCAGCACAGCAGAAAGAGACATCTTCCTGAATGTGACAAGCATTTGCCAGCAGCTATATCACCCTGCAATTCACAGCTGGCAGCTCACTGAAGCTCAGCAGTGTGAATCTGGTCAGTACCTGGTTGAGAGACTCCTGGGAACAACTAAGGTTGCTGCTGGAAGAGGTGTTAGTGGGGCCGTAGGGGGCGCTCTCCCTGTGATCTCTTTGGGCCCTAATGCCCATCCTTCGGATGAGATGTAAAACCAAGATCCTGACTCTCTGTGGTCATTAAATCAAAAGGCGTAGGGGTGTTACCCTGGCGTCCTGGCAAAATTTTCCATTGGCCTTTGCCGATCATAGCCTCCTAATAATCCCCATCTCTGAACTGGCTTCATCATTCTGCTTTCCTCCCCACTGAGAGCTGGTGTGTGGGGAGCGTACTGGCGCACTATGGCGTCCGTCACATCATCTAGGTGGGGCTACACACTAGTGGTTGAGCAGAGTCTCCATTAACCATAAAACATTCTGAGTGGAGTGTCCAGAAAAGCACTATACAAATTTAAGTAATTAATATTATTTGGATGCTGTGCAATCCTATACAGCATGTGCTCTGAATGAATGTAAACCTCAGATACCTTCAGATATGTACAAGGTAACAAAATGAGCCATATGGCTTTCTCTGGTTTGGAACCTCTTATGCTCTTATTTTAGAACATTTTCAGCATCATCGGCAGCAATGAAGCTTTCCGCATACTGTGTGTGCAGGGAGAACAAAACTTTTTTTTTTTAAACCCAGCTACTTTTTAGGAATAACTGATCACTCTGTTTTATCTGGAAAGAAATCTCATGTCACTTAC